GGGGTGCTTTTGCAGAAGCAGCACACAACAGCAGTGCTTTGGCGTGCCCGAGGAAGTGCCTGGGCTGACTGCAATGGTCGCCCGCGTGGCTTCTTCAATCTTCATGTTTCTTCTGAACGTGGAGAGGGTGCAGTCATAGGCATAGCATTGGAAAAGGCAGGCTAATTCTGTTGCATCTCCTCAGTGCAGCAGTCAGGACACACAATTTCCTTTACCTGTTCCACCTGGAAAAATAAATAAAAACTGAGGATAAATTTCTGAAGTTTGCTTGCTGCTGAGAATTTCTTGTCCTCTTTGGCAACAACCTGTCAGGTGACTTGATGCACCGTTATGAAACTGCAGAGAAATGGAGATGAGATTTAAATGGGTTATAACGTTGAAGCTTCAGCTTTGATCTTTGTTTCACCAACACTTCCGCTCCCAGTCACTGTACTGGAATTGCCCAGTTAAAGTGGTTTTGGTCCTCAGAGGTTTTCTGATCAAGTACCATCTTTCAGAATGAGGTTAGATGGATTCCCTGGTGTGGTTTGTGGATCGCTGTTCCTAACATCCTGTGGAACTCCTGCATGAGTCTCTTGTCCAGTTAAATTTTTTAAAAAGAAGAGAAGGGAAGATGCTGGTTTTCTTGCTGTTTACCAACCTCACCTCCTGTTCTGTGGGATCGGAGCCAGCGAGCTCAGGGTGGTGCTATGGCCAAGACCTGCTCTGCACCAAAACTGTTGCTTAGAGCTGCAGCTCGTTAAGCAGTACAGTCCTTCAGATGAACATAAGGTGCTCTTTTCATGCTCTGGCATGGTAGGAGACCTTGTTTCCTTTCTGCTGTCAGAGCTCCTGCCCTGGCAACCACCACAGCACTGTGTCCCTTCTGCTTGTGCCACGTCAGCGGTGTCGTGAGTAGCTGTCAGGCAAAAAACAAATGTTTTGTGTAGAGATCTTGGCTAGATTGTCCAGGAGGATGTTAGAGATCAAGGAAGTGGTGCTTGAGTGCAGTATGGGACACCGATACACATCCAGCAGCCTGGCTTGGTGTGAATATTTTGCCTCTAAGAGATGTTTCTGTGTCTCAGGGTCCTGCTGTGGTTGGACAGGCCCATGAGAAATTTAGCTTGGGCACTTGTGTTATCTTACTGTGTCCATCCATCCCATCGGGAGCGTTGCCTGAACGGGATGTGTGTCCTAAAGAGCACTAAAAGGTGTAGATGGGGGAAGCTGATGCAGAACGTGAATAATTAGTGGCAATTTCTGTTGCACTGAGGTGGAGGATGTCTGCGTAGGTTGATTACTGACAGAGTTGCTGAGGTTCCATCTCAGCTCAAACTCTGTGACAAATTCTCTCTGGAAAGCTTAAACTCTTGCTTAGGCCAGTGAACTGAAAGCTGCATCCAAACCCGTGAGGTGTTACGGAACGCAGGGAAAGCTGCCTCAGACAGCCTGTCGTTCCATGGTTAACTTGGAAGCTGATTATTTTTAAACATGGGCTGTTATTTTATGCTTCATCACTTTAAGATAGACCTTTGCAGGGACGTATTCCAAAAATGTCAGGGTCTGAACAGCATGTCCCTAAATTTCTAAACATTCTTGTGATATTACAGGGTCAGTTTCCCCAGGGTGAAATCTGGAGAGGGAAGGAAAAAAGTTTTACAACTCCAAAGAAAGTAGTAATGGGAACTTTAGTTTTGCTTGCCATCGTTTTTTGACTCGGCCGTAAGTATTCCTTGTTGAAAAGCGTCCCTGCAAATTTTTAAAAGTTTACTGAAGACTTCCATTTTCTCCTTGTAGACACAGAGGTTGGCTGACGTAAAGAGACTGTTTAGGAAGCCCTGAGCTCCCCAGCGTTGATGTGGTTGGGAAAGACTCAGGAGACTGGAAATCTAGAACTCCAGTACTGAAAATTTTCTTATTTCCAAATACACGCGTGGCACTGGTCTCCGAGTCGTGGCTCCTCGTGCAGCAGTCGGAGGCAGCTGGGTGGCTCCCGGAGATACGGCGACGGTTCTGTTATCGGTTCTGTTATCTGCAGCGCCTTTGCCGTCGCCTGAAAAGTTAAAACGCCACAACCTGACGCTTCTCAGCCGTGGAGCTGCCTTGGACCAGCTCCAGAGCCTGTGGCCAGGTGGCAGCTGTGCAGCCCGGGTACGGCACAGGGGGGATGATAATAGCACCGAGCTGTAAACAGGACGCTCCACCCTGCTTCTCACGCGCCCTCCTCCTCGTGCCCGGCATGCCATGCCGTGCACGCACCCTTTGCACCCTCAGGAGGAGTAACCTGCTTCCAGCAGCACCCTGCCCTGCTGCCTGGCTTCTCCCAGCTGCCCCCTGCCTTTTGGGCTCCTCCGTGCTGCTTAAAAACGAGCTGGGGTGGTTGATAGTGGAGTTGTAATTCATGAAAAGGAACAGCAGCTCTTGCTTTGGGTGTGTGCCAGCCCTCGTGCACGATGCAGCGGTCACCGTGCAAGGCTGTGTCTCTGCTCGTGGTCATGGCCATTCTTGAGGTCCCTCCAGGCTGGTTTGGAGTGTGAAGGTGACCCCAGTCACGCTGGATGCCCTGGCTTGATCAAGGGGGGGCCTCCTGGAGAGCTCTGGGGGGGCACATGTGCTGCCAGAGCAGTGTGGGAGAGGGGCTGCCCTGTAGCTGGAGCCTTCAGTTCTTCTGCCAGCAGCCTGGTGGGGAGAGCAGCGGGAGAGGAAGAGGCAGCTGAAGTCATATGTAATGGAGATGCAAGTGCCATAGCCCGTGGGGGCACTGAGGCACTGCAGAGGAAGCTGCAGATACTAACGAGTTTCTAAATTAGTGGTAGATGTCGTAGGCTGTTAACTGGTGGGAGCAGGGAGTGTGCCTGGGAATGCCAGCTGGGCCTGGCACAATAAGCCTTTAATCCAGTGTGGACCTTCTGAGGTGTGGCTGTCGTGCAGGGACTAATGCTTCTCTTGCCCTCCCACGTGGCGTTTTGTTCCTACCTTTTCCTCACCTAGAGCTCCAGTTCCACTGCCAAAATGGTATTTTAGCTGATAAAAAGATGGATTTAACAGTCCCTGGAGCAGTCTCGGCTGTGAGCCTGCCCTGGGTGCTGCAGCACCTTTGTGTGCAGAGGTATTTGGCAAACAAAACACGGTGCTTAATAGTTCCAAGGCTGGTTTTGGTGTGGGTGACTCTGCCTGCCTGCCATGCCCGCGTTTGGGGAGGAAGGAGAGAAGGTCTGTACACAAAGCACCCGGAGCAGAGCGCTGCGCGGGGCCTTAATATCTTGCCAGGAGGCCACAGGGCTGGTTCTAATGGGTGATTTGCATGTCTAATCAAAATGAAATGCAAACAGACCTTCCTGCTGGCTCCAACGTGCCTCTTTCTTGCCACCTTTTTGGTTTTGGCGATAACAGCTTTTCTCAGCTGCAGCGGTGACGACAGGGCTGCAGGAGAGGACGGTCGTGCTGCCTGCCCGCGGGCCGCGCGTTACCCACGTCGAGTTTGGAGCTGGTACGCGGTGGAGGGGAAGTGGAAGGTGCAGCAAAGTGTCTCCTGCTGGGAGAGACGCTTGGCTCTCCCTCCTCGCGATGGAATTGTGCATTATTGGAGAGGGGCTTTGGACAAGGGCGAGTAGTGACAGGACAGGGGGCAACGGCTTTAAACCGAAACAGGGGAGATTTAGATTGGATATAAGGAAGAAATTCTTCTCTCTGAGGGTGCTGAGGCACTGGCACAGGTTGCCCAGAGAAGCTGTGGCTGCCCCATCCCTGGAAGTGTTCAAGGCCAGGTTGGATGAGGCTTTGGGCAACCTGGTGTAGTGGAAGGTGTCCCTGCCCATGGCAGGGGGTTGGAACTGGGTGGTCTTTGAGGTCCTTTCCAACCCAAACCAGTCTGGGATTCTGTGATTCCTGACACACAAACTTACACTAGTCTTATTTACAAACTTTTCTCTTAGTCGTGTCTCTGGCTACTGTTAGCAAAGCAATGTCTGAGGGGGGGGTGCAGCTGTCTCCTGGAAGCTGGGCAGAGCCAGAGCCCCTGGGTTTGAGCTCGGGCCCTGCGAGCGACAGGCTGGGACAGTGACCAGTGGCACATCTGCCTCTCTGGCCTTTCTAACTGAATGCACGCACCTACCGATGGCACCTACAGATGACCCGCTGGAGAATCCAGAACTTTGCAGACATTCTCTTGGCCTCCTTGAAACTGGGAGCTAGTAATAACACCGCTTCCTTGGGGGAAACTGAGGCACACGGGCTCCCTTTCACTTTTGGGTCTTACCATGGGTGAGAGCCTGGAATTCCCTAAGGGTTGTGCTCCAGGTAGTAAGAAATACAACCTTACAGAGCACACAGTGGGTGTTTTTCTCCAGCGCTCATGCAAAAGCAATGTGGACAGGCCGAGTATTTCACTCGGTGTGCAGCAGCCTGCTCAACTTGGGCTGGAATGTTTAATCAATGGCTTTACGCAGCCACTGAGGCTGCAATAAAACCCCTCGTGGAGAAGCAAATCTGTGGGTGACAAGTGTGAACACAGCTCCCCTCTGCTCCGCTGCAGGAGGGCAGGTGGGGCACGGAACCCACCAGCCCCTGCTGACCTACTGAAGTGGTGTTTCTGCTGCCACTGGTTCTCGATAGCTGACTTGGAGCAGCAAAACTGCCCGCGCTGAGGCTGGGCAGCACCATGGCCCTGGCATAGAGGAGCTGCTGCTCTCGGGGGAGTGGGAACTCACTGGGCACATTGGAAGCAAGTGGAATCCAGTGTCCAGAGAGTAAACGGGCTTCTTCAGGCTGCTGGTTCCTTTCTTGTGATCTTTGCAAGTTGTAGATGCCCCATCCCTGGAAGTGTTCAAGGCCAGGTTGGATGGGGCTTTGTGCAACCTGGTGTAGTGGAAGGTGTCCCTGCCCATGGCAGGGGGGTTGGAACTGGATGATCTTTGAGGTCCCTTCCAACTCAAACTATTCTATGTGGGCTTGTTGATTCAGCTGTTACCGAATCTGAGCTTTGGAAATCTGATTTCCTTTTCTTCCCCCCTGTCCAGCCAGCGTTCCCACTGCTGCTGAGAAGACCTGCCGTCCCCGGCAGCCCCGTGTGCGCCGCACCTCGTCGCTGGACACCATCGTGGGCTCGTATCTGGTGGGACAGTGGCCGCGGGACGCTGAAGGAGCTTCCACTTGGTGCATGAACGACAAAGCCACCCAGGTACGAACACCTGCAGGCTGCCCGTGACATCTCTGAGCCAGGACTGGGCTGCAGATGAGCAAACGAGCTGTGTAAACTGGAGGTGAACAGGGAAGGCGTTGAACTTCCATCCATCCAGCTGCAACTTTCTAGGAAGGCTTTTTTTTTCCCTTATAGCTTCTCAGCTTCAATTGATTCCACTTTGGTGCAGAGTTAGAATTTCCTTGGCCCTGTTTGGAGGCAGATGGCCTCTGGCTTTCTGCTCCAGTACTGGCTCGGCGCTCTGTTGTTTTTTTCTCTCTGGCTTGCAGCTCTGGGCCAAGCCCTTATATAAGACTGGCGGGCTGCGTGCCACACGTTGGGAGAAGCCAGGGGTGCTCCCACAGAAGGGCTCACTCTCAGACGGTGCAGTGCTCCACTGTAGCATGGAAAAGCTCCAGACCTCGAGGAACTCTTAGCAACCTGTAAATATTCCTGTATGGCAGCAAACAGTGCTCTCCTCTGCAGAGCTGGAGGAATTCAGAAGGATAAGAGTATCCCTTTACTTACTCAGTTTGTTTAGCACATTCAGTCTCTGTTAACTTGCTGTTTGATCTTTGCTATTCAACAGTTTATTACTGGGCTGTTTGCAGGAAATTCTCAATTGGATTCGGACTTCCATTGTCCTTTTCCAAAGTATTCTTGCCTGCTTTTGTTTCAGTTCTAGTGCCCAAGAGCACTGCCGAGGGCAGAGGGCATGCTGGAAAGGAAGGGAAAGAATTTAACTTTATTTCTGAGTCAGGGAAGCACACTCTTCCTTTCTGTCTTCATCAGCAATTCTGGGAACACTTAATCTGGGGCTAATTAGATTTTCTTGCGTGTGGCCCTTTTGGGGAAAAGGGTTGGTGAGGAGGGGCACCTCCTCCTTCCCGGAATGGAAGATGGCACTGTGTTAATTCATCCCTGTGACTGCTCCTTTCTGCAGGGAATGGGCCCGGTGTGCCCCAGGCTGTCACCCCTTATCTGCCAGGGTCTTGCAGATGCTAATTCTGCCTTGCAACACGCCTGGGAAAGGAGCGCTGCTCTCCCCAGTTTCACCCAGCATGTGTGTCAAACGACTTGTCTGTTAAAGCTGGGAATAAACCCCTCGGGTCCAGACCGCCCTGTGCGTGAACAAATCTTCCTCTTTGGAGCTTCCAGGACTTTGCCACTCCTTCCGTGTTTTCAGGCTCAGCAATTACCAAACTGGGGACTTTCTCTGCCAGCCAGCACGTTTGCTGCCCTCCCGGCTCAGCTGCTGGTCAGCTGTTCTGCAGGGCGCTGTAGATCTGCCATCACAAGGTGGTTCAGTGAGAGCCGGAGCTGCAGGTGCTCGGTGTGGGGGTGAGGATGGCGGCAGCGCTGCACAGGGTTGGAGCTTGTGGCTTCATCTTGCTGTGCAAAGCTTTTATTTTTTCCTCTCCTTTTTCTGAGGAAGCGGTTTGGCCACAGTTAGTACAAAAGGTGCTGTAATTTCCTTCTGCCCCGACGGCCTGCCTGCGAGCGGTGGGATGCGGCGTGCTCTGTTCTCGGGCCTCCCTATCGCAACCAGTGTCTCTTCTTCCTTTTTAGGCCCGATTTTTTTCTGTGAGCACCGCTGCAGCGCTCAGTGCAGCCTGTTGCTGTCACACCCAGAGCACTAAATGGCTTCTCAAACGGGGCTGGGGGGGCTTCCAGTGACCATCACGTCCTGCAAAGCAGCTGGAGTTCAGACTTGCCTCTTGCAGGGTGTGGGACAGGGTCTTGTCTCTCAGACCGTTGTCTCTTCTCCTTCGCCTTCTTATGTGTGTGATCTGCTGGGACGTGAAATGACACAACGCTTTGGGATAAAGGCCAAAAAATGATGTTTTGAGTTGCTTAGGAGAGAATGTTTGAGGTAGGAAATGAGATCAGATGTGCCATGTGCTGAAACGCCTGTGCCATGGCGTTTCCTGTCGCGTTGGGCTGTTCCCTGGCTCTGTCTGGCACAGCAGCACTGGGATGGCTGCGACCGACTGCTCGGAGCTCACAGGACTCTGAGCAACGGTTCAGGCTGAACAAATTTCTTCTCTCAACTGTGAATTGAACAGAACAACTCCTGTGCCACCACGCCTGCTGCTTACAGGCACTGCAGAACGGAGACCAGACAGCGCACGGCTGCAGTGGGGAGCGCAGTGTGCTCTGCCTGCAGTGCTGTGGGTAAGGAGGGGTTTCGTTCAGGGCCTCTGAGGGCAGGAGGGGGTTGGATTTCTCCCTAGAAATCACCTCTGTCCTTTTACAGAAGGGAAACTGGGTACTTCTGTAGGTAACTTGTCTTGTTCCTTTGGTGCAAATAGATTTTAAAACCTGTTTTGAGAGAAGAGGCTTCTGTCATCCCTGTGACTCAACAGGGTTGTTGGAAACAGCTGCTGTTCTTGCAGCAGCCTCTGGGGAGATCAGTTAAGCTGCTCGGAGAGGAACTGTTCTCAGGCCCTCACCTCCTGGCAGCTCCTCGCTGAGGATGGAGGAGGGAAGAATCATCCAAAGCCTCCCACAGCAATGGCAGGCGGCGGTGACACAGGGCGAGCGCTTTGAGAGGCACTGAAATGTGATGGTGGGGAAAAAATGATGGCTGGTCTTGAAAACGATGTGCCTTGGGACTGTTCCGATGGCTCTGCCGAGAGGGCTGAGTTCCGGGGAAGGAAGTTCACACCCTTTGCTGATCAGATTAACAGCCCTTGCTGATTTCCATTGATACCCAGAGTGTAGCTGTGGCTCGGAAAACAGCTGTGTAACTTGGTGCTGAGGCTGGTTTTTGGCGTGGAGAGGGTCAGCTGAGAACTGCCAGCCCAGCGGCCGGTGGGATGTGAGCCGGAGAGGTGGCCAGGTTGTCCCAGCGCTCCAGCAGCAGGCAGTCTGCTGTCCAGACTCCGGTTTTGGTTACGCCTTTGAGCTCCAACGCGGGAGCCTGAGGTCTCAGAAGCGTTGCGTGTTCTCCCAGTTGGGTGAGGCTTTTCCTCCCGGTAACGCTTCTCCGTGCAGCGAGTGCCTGGAACCCTGCGTCACGCGGCCGCGGCGCAGGGAGCGGTTGTGGGTTTTTTTCTCCGGGGTAATGGTGTGGTGTGGCTTTTCTCGACGCATACTTGTGGTGATCAGGCCGCTGACTTCTGGGCAGGTCTCTGGCCCTGTAGGTCTGTGAGGTCCAGTGTCCTGATAGGCACAAAGCTGGCCAAAATAACTTTGTTTTGGCAAATACGAATAGGTGGCCACGTCAACGCGTGTTACTGGGTATTGTGGGGGCAGACTGGAGCAGGACTGTGAACGGGCAGTAGTCAATCACTTACACACCAGTCTCAAACCAGTAAATGTTGTGATTATTCTCAGCCGTGTTTCTCATCACTTCAGACTCCGGTGTCCTGGCATGAGGCGGAAGCGGGGAAAGCCAGCTCCAGTGCCCACAAACGTTCTGCTTCTTGGGGTAGCACAGATCACCGCAGAGAGGTAAACCAGACCACTCCCAATGCTTGAGCAAGGCCTGCCTGAGTTCCTGACGTGTAGGAGGCTCCTGCTGGCGTGGGAGGGGAGTGGGAGGACAGGATACCACTGGTGACAAGACCCTTGTTCCTGTCCCTAACGCTCTGTGGTTCAACCAAAGACCAGTCTCGTTGGCTTCCTCTAGCAGGCAGCTGTTGTACAGTCGCTCCACTGAAACGTTGCTCCTTGGTGTCATGGCGTGCGTGGGTCCCAGGGGGCTGGTTCCAAACTCCCTGTGGGCAGGAGATAACCCAGGTCCATTGGAGGAAGGGCACTGCCCACGTTGCAGCGGGGCAGTTTGTGACAAGGCCTTGTGAGTACCTCTGGTCCATCCATGAGAGGTGGCTGGAGCTGCTGCTTGTGTGATGAAACAGTCTCTATTTTGGCACTTCCCTGTGGGGTGGAGGAGAGGGGGAGGAGAGAGACAAGGCGTGTGATCCTTTTTGGTGGAGATGTGTTGGCTTGGCTGGTTCTGTAGCTGAAACTCTGTTTGCCAGATTGCCAAACTGAAGCAGCAGCTCCAGCGAACAAAGCTAAATGGCAGAAGTGGCAAGGAAAAGGAGAAGAGCTCCCCGCTCCAGGGGGACCATGCTGTCCTTGGATCGTTCAGGGTACGTTCACGTCTCCCCCTGCTCTGCTGTCACTGTGTGTCCTAGTGAGGTGGAGAGCAAATGTTTTCGGGCAGGTGTCCAAACCCTTCTCGGGCTTCTGCTGTCATGCCTGAGAAGGCAGAATTTTTGTTGTCGTCTCCCACCTCTGCAGTGTGTCCCTGTGCTTTGATCTGCAGTTAGTGAGTTCACGTGACTCCGCTGTCAGTCTTCTCCCATCGGCCTCCTGGAAGGTTTTGGGAGAGCTGTGGGAACAGGACGTAACTGCTGAGTTTGTGCAGATACAACTCTGAACTTCTTTCATTCTGGATTGTTACAGGACTCTCCTTCAGGCTTCCTTTCTCCCTCTCCCATTTTGAGGCTCAGCCCCTGCTTGCATAGGAGCCTGGAAGGGCTGAACCAGGAGCTGGAGGAAGTGTTTGTGAAGGAACAGGGAGATGAAGAGCTCTGGCGGGTAAGGGAAGGTCACAAGATTGCCCTGAATCTTCTGGATGGTCTTGGAAATCCTTTTCTCTAAAGAGAAATGCCTGTATCTGTTTCTTGGCCATGGGGACGGCCTCTGTGTGTAGTTCCAGTTTGTTCTGGGCATGTCACTGTCGAAACTGGGTGAAGTGGCTGCTGGTGTCCCTCCTGAAATCTCGCTGGTGCTGGGAGAGGTACGGCTAGGAGAGCCAGTAGAGTCTCGGGATGGATGACACCTCGCTGAAAGCTTTAAGGCGCTGTCGTAGAGTGGCATCCAAAGGCTCCTTGGTGCTGTGCAGATGTGGGAGGAGTGATCCCAGACAGCTTCCGGAGTGCAGCGCGTCGCAGGGCACGGAAGGGTCGGTGTCGCGGGCACGGATGGGTCAGTGTCGCGGCTGCAGAGGCTCTGCCTGTATCTCAGTGCAGCACCCCGGGTATCTGCTTATCTGTAGGTGCAACTGCTGCTGTTACACCTTCGCTGGTGACAGTTCCTCATGTCCTCCCTAGATACTGGATGTCCCAGATGGCCACAGGGCGCCAGCGCCTGCCCGGAGAGGCTCCGGAGCCGCGGCCCTTGCTCCGGGG